TCCCAGAATATTGTGTCATTTGATTATATATTTTAACTGTCAAAATAATCTTTACTCATTTATGAACTCACAATGATGACAATAAAATTGTACTGCCGATATGCATAATTAGCAATGTCTCTATCTTCAATAACAGGTCTATGCATTTCCAAAGAGCTTTGGATTGTCATTCCGGCTTAAGCCATGGTTGCCCTGATAATACGTCCAGGCGTTCAAGTAAGTATTCATTCCTTCCGGTACCCATTCACCTCACATGGGTCAAGTGTGGCGAAAGTAGATCAATGTCTTGCCAAAGATTGTAGTGCTGCGACAGGGATTCGAATCCCATACCTTCTGATCCACAGTGTGATTATACAACTTGACCACAGCACTTCTGCTTTCATTTTCTCTATAGCTTCGGTTCTTATTTTCGGTAAAACAGGACTCACCAACTAGCATGGATGCCAATCATACCAGACTATCAATGCTCAATGCAACAGAAATCAGGAGACAATTACCCATAACTATCACTAATTACATCTCTGCAGTATTGAAAACAAGCTGCATATTAAAACCACAAAAAATAGTGTTGATAATAATTATTGAGATAACATCGGTGACCTGTCTGCTGCATGCTGCATAATTGATAGAGGAGATTGCCGTTTTCAGGTTACGAGGCACAAGCTCAGCAGACAGACAATCCACAAGATTACAACGAATAGAAATACAATCAAACCTGTCCTATGGCCACCTCTCTATAGTGGCCACCTGTCTATATCGGCCATGTCGTTAGTCTCCCTTAAGAGAGAAATGTGTGTTGTAGAACCTGTCTTAAAAGGCCACCTGTCTACATGTGCCTCTTTTACTGTATTCCTTGGGTGACCTTTATAGACAGGTTTGACTGTATTACATAGAGGCCAATCAATTCCTTCGGATCAGCTTATTTCACACAAAATCAGCAGATCAATAAACTCGATGTATATTTTGTTATCTTCCTTGTTTTTCTGAACCATCTCTCTTCTAATAGGCCTACTCCTTTGAAGTTCGTGTTAAATATATGTCCCGAATAATTAACACGTGTTATGGCAATAATCGTGTAGTACTCTTTGATGTGTTAAAAGGAAAAACAAAAATAAAAAACGTTTTTATTTCCCATCAATTCACATGCAGTGTCATGGAGAAAGATTATCTCAATACCATCAACTAACTTTCCTTCCATTCAAAAGGCACAGCGTAAGGTCTAATTCTATTGACATCAATATCTCCACACGATTATTGTTTTGGCGGGATCGTTAAAATTCATATTCGCTCATTTTTTTTTTTGTCTGAGGGTAAACAGTTTATTGCACGGTAGCTGCCTGCAAATAGAAACGGTATTTTCTCAGTTGAACGAGTGCATTATCGGAGAGAGGAATATAGAAGACGACTTACAAAAGAAATATAAGTGAATAACACGTGTCGCGCACAAGACGCAGAACAATATTTCTTGTTCTTCAGAATGCATGAACTTCGACACGCGCAGTCCGCCATGCAGCTCAGCGGGGGAGAGGTGTGCGAAGTTAATACGCGTACGCCAGAGTCACCGCTCTCAATGGAAGCATTTGGGTAACAGTCCTGAAAATGAGGTATATTTTCACACGCTATAAAAACACCTAAAGAAATCGAGAAAAGGGGTAATCGAAATCAATATAAACCATCAATCTCGCAGTTTGGACTGTTCTCTTGTACCCTGAGCTTTCCCACATGAAATGTTAATGATGTGGGAATGCATGTTCGGAAACTTCAAGAAAAAAAACCATGAGAAAAATTACTTTTTCTTTCTTTAATTTGTCTCACCCTATCAAATCCGCTGAGAACATTCTAAAGTTTTTGATCGTGAGAATATTTTGTTCATCCATTCATGATATTGGCCAGTGTTAAGATTAAACAAAGGATGACTTCGGTCAAAAATAATATCGAAGCTTCAATTATTTAGCAGTCATAAATACCCTGCATTAAAATTATTTTCTTTCCATGGAAGACTACATGCCTAAACACATTTCATACAGAGATTCAGCCTCCTAAAATTATTTTTTTCAATAATTTTCATAATATATTTTACCAATAAAAAGATGCACCGAACATGAAATTATTGTATCTTCCTTTTGACATATCACAATGTATCCTAAGTTATTTTTGCCGTTCTTTTCAGCGTGAAATATAAACAACATCATTATGGATACTTCTCAAAAATACAAAGAAAATGACCTGTGCATTGATAACCGAATAATTTAAATTTCATTAAAACTAGAAATCTGTAATATTTATCGAAATTCCATACAAATGACGGTGAACTAATCAAATATATATAACAGTTCAATCCACAAAACATACTTTTTGTTAGTACTTTGTATGTCGAAACTGAATGGTTTTAAGTAATAAAAATGAAGAAAAAAAACCAGAAAATACCGAAAAACACGGATGTAAATGAATAAAATAGGAAGAAAAAATATATAGATTGAGTAAAATTGAGATCTTTTTGTCATCAACACAATAAATCGTAAAGGTTTACAACGTAATAATGGAGTCATTTGTTTCAATGTTATTAAACTTTAAAAAATTTATAAAATCGATACTACATGTATAGTATCGAATCTCTCTCATTTCTACCAGAAAAAACATAAGCATGACAAACAAACATTTGGTTTAAAACAAACAAATTTTAAATACCGTAACAGAATAAAGTCAAACTATTTTTAATAAAAAGAGAAGATCTAAAGCGATAAGCGATAACCATTTTGCTTGAAACTTTCCTGAATAATTTACGATATATGCAATGTGAGTCAATTAGAGAACAAAAAATCAATGATACTACGAATCTTATATTATACTGAAGGTATTTTATGGTAATTTATGTATAAGGACATTTAGTTTAGCTGCAGGGATATATATGATTTGGACGTAACAATGTTTTTAAGTAAGGAAAGATAGCGGTAGCATTGCTAATAATTGTTAATTTTTGCATCTTGTATTATTTTTTCATTCTATTTCCGAAGTCAAAAATGACGCGTATCCATGGTAACGTAAGAGATAGGATTTTATAATAAACCAAACGATTGCTTTGTGCATGGTTTTGTCTCTCCGCGCCAGGATAAATACATGAATGAAAGGTTTTTCTTCGCCTTCACCTCTCGGAGCCGACCTAACCGACCGCAGAATGACGATTGTCGCCGCCGAACGGCTGGCTCAATAGCTGGCTTGGACCCGTCGCCGGCTGAGTTGAGTGGCACGCTTTTATAGCTGTCTATATAGCTAGCTGAACAATGTTTTGCCCAATGATGCGTTTTAAGAAGCACCCATTTTGCCACAATATCTCAATGTCTCGGTTGGATGCTCGCGTATTGAGTGTCGCCGCTTTACTTTAAAGACCCTCATGACATGGCAGACTTTCGCCAGCTTATGGAGCCAGTATGGGCATTAAGAATGAACTAGCTTATCGGTCCTTCCTGAAAACATTCAATCAAAATAATTCAAATAATAGTGTCACTACATGGATTTGTACACTTTAATCCAACTATATATGTGTTTGATTGGTTTCAAATGATGATTGTTTGAGTTTTCACAGATGAAAAGTTAATAATAACATGATTAATGTTGTTTTGGTGTATAGTAGCATATAATATCTTTTGAATTGATGAAGTGCTATCGTGTCTCTGAAAACGCAGTTAAGAATACAAAATTACAAAAGTATTGGGTATTGGTACTTGATATTTTAATGATCTATTGACAAAATGTTTTTGTTTTAAGACTATATCATATTTATACCAGCAGAATCCTTTAATACTTATTTTTCAATTAGTTTGTCGTTTTCTTAAACATTTTATCTTTGAAATCCCATATCAGATTGTGTCTAATATAATGACATAATGAAAATTGCTATCCGTAGCTTTCACTTTTACGATACTACTGTATGCCTCACAGTCTTTATTTGTCTTAATTCTTGATTTTAGGGTATTCCCTTTTTCGTTTGTGATCAATTTACAGTTACTACAATAACCCTTATATGTTAAATCGCATGCATGTTATATCAGTTTCAATGATACGTTTCTTGCGTAATTATTTTCATTTTCAGCTTTTCTACTGGTTTCATGTCTTTTTTTTCCTTTTCTGTCAGGTATTATCATGAAATTGTAAATGACTTGAATCATGTAGGGGTAAGCAAGACCTGGTTTTTGAAATATTTCGAAAATGTATTTTGCATATGTGACAAAGACATGCTTGCTATCCTTTACTCTCGCTAAAACAATTGGTTTGGTCTCTAGGCACTAACAGTACATCGAAAATTCATCACTAGAGCATCATTGAACAATAAAAAGGGAAGTAATAGTCAACTCTGTTTTAGTCTTCTTGTTCGTCTTTTGTTTGCTACAAAAGCAACCACCTGTTTTTATTGACTCATTTAAGTATTTGAAAATCACATCTCCACCCCTAGACCTTTGTCATGGTCAACTATCAATAAATTAGAGAGCCTGCTCTAGAATCTATCCAGATCCATGAACAGTTGGCTTCTGCAAATGCCTCTTTTGTTTAAACAAAACTGTTGCACAAAAACAAATTTTGGGTGTGAAATACCTCGAGGGCTGTAAGAATGATAATGCCGTGAGATTTTTACATGAAAGCGATAGAAATTGGAAATCAGAAAAGCAAACTAGGCGCGCGTGCGTAGTTGACAAAGATGAAAATGAGTAACGGAAAAAGACAATAAATGTGGGGAAGGAAGAGAGAGTGAAGAGAGAAGAGAAAGAGAAAGAGAGAGAGAGAGAGAGAGAGAGAGATGAGGGAGTGGGTTCCTTATCAAAAGTAAGGGTGAAAGTGGTGTCGCCGAAGTGACACTGTACAGTTGTCAAAAATCTAAATGCTCATTGGTCCAAAATGTCAAAAGATTACGACACACAATCATCAACAGTTACTCACTATACGTACACACACACCCTCCTCACACACGACACATACACACACAACGGGCAGTCCCAACTCCCTCCCCTGTCTCCCTCTCTCTCATTCTCTCTCTCACTCTCTCCAGGCATACCATACTAATTCGCCTTGTACACAATGCTCTAAACACACAGATACACGTGCGCGCGGTGTAGGGTGACTATAAACCACTTAGACCCATTAATTTGGAGTTGATAGGGGAACAGGTTGCGGCACACGACGCCAGCACGGTTGCATGAGATGTTTTCATCTCGCAGGTAGACGAAAGAGCAGTTGACAAATTAAGCCAAAAGTCGCTAGACGATTCTTGAAAGATGCGTCGAGCTCCAGGTATGCCTCAACCGATTTCCAACTACCGTCGACGAAGCTTGGATTTTTGATTTTCCATCTGAATCATTTTCGCCTCACTTTCGCTTAAAATCGCAGACTCACCAGCAAGTTAATAACTAATAACAGCATATTGACAGAAAAATGACTTTGTAAGTAAATAACATTTCTAGCAGACGATACTATCCTGTTTGTGTGATTAAAAGCGGAGGAAGGACTTGTTAAAACAAAATCGCGGCTTGATTTATCTTGAATAATTAAAAAGTATTCCTATTAAGAGGTACGAACGCAGCTTTGGAGCAGCACGACATATTCAGCAGAAAAACAGCTAAAGGACGACCAAACTAAGAAAAGGAAAGAGAGGAATACAAAGTATCCGAGATGGATGCTCAGCTCATGCGGAGTCACTTCTCACAGGGGTCTCGGCGGGCTCTCTCCCTTCCCTGCTTACTCCTTCTCGTCTGCAGCTCACGCGCTTGGTTTCCACGTCTCACCGCCGGGTGCATCGCCCGGAACTCACGGGGACCTTGCTATCACGACATCGATGGCAGCAGCGGCTGCGGCGGTCAGGGTCCAGAGCTCTATGAAGAAGGATCTTAAACATGTTTCCGGAGATTGTTTTTCCTCCAAGAGCAAGATGATGAAGATTGGAGGGATCGAAGATGATCATGATAAAAATGGTGAGTTCAAAATGATGCTATCCATGTCATTTAGAAAACGAATTGCAATATAACTAAACTTTACATTAGTAAAGAGAAGTAGAGGTTATAAGAATTCTTGATAGTGTCAATATAAAATGGATTCTTTACTTTTTCAAATATGCTAATGTTACAATATTTAAAAAATCAATCCCTTTCAATAGTGTCAAATCATTCTATATAGATGTCAGTGACGACTGTTTATGCATTTTAAGTGAAGCCTTTTAATAAACCTAAGACGCACACAATGTTTTTTAAAGAAGTCTGAAGTGATATCCTTAACATACAGTGATTTATCTTAGATACAGATAATTATCTGATTCCATTATTAATGAAATAAGATGTTTGCTGAAATAAGAAAATAATGAGCAAAGGCTTATTTGTCAATGATATTTGGTCATGTTAAAAACAGATGACACAGAAGCTATTATGCTAGTTGTAATAGATAGACAGATTTGCCGTGAGAGATAATGATAAACAAAAACGAACAAATTATCGCTTTGTTAAACAATTTAATGAAGCCACTTCTTTTCTATGATTTGCCTTTGGGTAAACTAGGTAGTAAACTCACATTTTTTCTCGAGAAAGATTCGCTGTAAAAATAGACGAAATAAGAATTGCGTATATTTCAATCTGCTCAACAAACTGAATAAGAATTTCGATTACTGAATTTTAAAAAAATGTACTACGGCCGGAAATAACAGGTCACTGATATAATTATATGCAAATAACTTATGTTTTTTAGTTCAAAACTATGTTTTAGGAAAGTACCGCGACATTATTTCTTTACCCTTAATAACAAATTATATCACTTGTTTGAAGATATATCATATCATATCATTTATAAATTTTGTATGAGCAAATATTACATGTACTTGTGTTGCTCTTTATTTTTGCTTTCCTATTTTCCAATTTAAAGAAAGGTAAATAATCTGTTTTTTGCTTCTAACTCCGTTATTTACTGCGTTCGTTAATATCGTTTCGTACCTTTACTTTTGTATCCATTTATGATATAAACAATGATTTTAATTGGATTGAATCGAAATCGCGTTTGTAATGAATAATGATTGTTCTCTTTAATAGGTTTGTTACTTCAAAGTATGTTATCAATATTTCAAATGATTAGAGTTCTTTTTTCTTTTCAATTTTTTAAAAAATATTTTGGAGAAAATATGTTCATGTTTCCAACCTAATGTTACAGACATAATGAGTAGCGTCTTCTTTATAACAAAATATACTTATGTTGCCGAAATCATGGTAGCTAAAGTTTAATTTCTTTTCACCCCCTTCTGTATAATATTCATAGAATATACGAGTCCATCTTCTGCTATGAATTCAGAGAAAATACTTTATTTGTTACTTACATTTGGCATGAATCAGCTCCGCTTTTTCTTTTACAATAAAAACATTAGTACTTGTGCTTTTAATTATTTCTTGTACAGTTACAAACTGTTATTCGGGTATGTTGTGTAGATTTTGTAACGTCTTTTAAGCCTTAATGTCTGTCATATCTCCTAATAAGTTTATTTGAGTAATGTTCGTTATCCCTTAGAATAAGTTTCTTTGAGACAAACTGAGGATAAAGATAATACTTTTTATAGATATGATAACTATTCATTATCAAAAATCTTATAAAAGCGACAAGGACTGATTTCACACTGAGATTAAACTACAATGAAAAAAATTGGTATAATAATTATATACTGGTTACAGAAATTGCTAAACTTTGTACTTAGGAAGCTAGTGCATCTCCGGAAGATTCATTCTTATTGAATCTTCCTTGTTATGGTATCAAAGTTTTTATAGCATTATGATCAAATTGTTTGGAAGAATGCAATGAAAATCATATTGTTTGATAATAACAATATAATAATAATCGAGAAGATATGAATAAAAACCTTATCTGTTCACGGAAGATAATCATTAATAAATCCTTTTTATTTTTTTTCAAATTTTCTTCCTCAAAACAGTGCAAAAAGGGACTACTTTTAAGATTAATCTTCGAGTCACATGACCTTCTAACATTAATAAAAACAATATCATATATAACATTCTTCCATATGTAATAAGGTCATCTACGAGTAATAGAACAAGAGTATGCGTCATCACATACAAATGAAATAGCTGGAAAACATTTTAAAGTATTGCTATACCTATCACGTATACTCGGCTAAAATGATTACTGTCAAGTTTATCGCATGTAGCATTTTCACATCCGATTTGCTTCTCTCTTCATCATATCTATAATCAGAAACCGAGTTATCCCTCCCGGACTTAATTTGGAAAAAGGATAAATTGAATTAATAGAGCGATTAAGAGTGGTGATTATGTCCGATATTAAGTTGTCCCATCCAATGGCTTTCAGCATGCAGCTCGGTAGGAAATGGTTGGAATCAAACCCTTTGCGCTGCGCTCGCCGGATGCCTTGGGCGTTACTGCTAATATTCTTTTCCATTATGGTCTGATTCAAATGAAATTTCACAAATGGACGAAGGCAATAAGATTTATTGCTTCCCGTGACGATGTGAAACATCGCGAGCAAGCAACAGTAACAGCGAGGAAGGGCTTAAGAGAGAGTATTGAGGAGAAAGGAGGGGGATTAAGGGATGAGCTTTGAAGAGGAGAAAGGGTGATGATAGGAACTGGTTGGTGGCGCTGGTAGAAGATGAAGTAACGAAACAACAGTCATAGTCGGTATCTATATTATAGCTCTGAGCAATGAAGTATTAAGAACTAATATAAATAGTAGTGATTTTGTGATTATTGTTACCTGTAATGCTATAATAATAATAATTATATTTAAAAACGATACTAGGCCTAGAGATATAAAATTAATAGCAAAAGTAGAAAAACTTGTGGTCGGATTAGTAGAAGTAGTAATGGTGGTGGTGGTGGTGGTGGTGGTGGTGGTTGTAATGACAACTATGATAATAATAGAAAGTGCTTAGAGAACACATAATAGTTCGTAGAATTCTCTATGCGCTAAACAAATAGTAAACTAGCTATGATGTTACAAGTTATTGGAACTTTTTTGTCGGTTATTGTTTTCATATTTTTCATAATAATAACAATGATACAGAATTCTAAGAGTAAGTAAATTTGTTGTTAAATGTTAATATACTCTGATAATGAACGCACTTGGATAAATATATTTCATCATTTAAAATGAAACTCTTTTTAGGCTGAAATGTCATTTCTAAAATCCCTGATTGGTTGGTGCGTTTGTATGCATATTCAATACAAAACTAACAAAGCCTTATAAATTTTACAAAACAATGCATTTTTTAAAATAATATGGTAACTTGATATAAGTAATGACTTTAATGACATTAGAGAATTTTAGGTAAATCATTTTTCTTGAACATTTTTAGATTCGGCTGGCTGATTCCTTTTAGTAAACAACTAAATGCTGCATTTGTATTGTCCTATTCTTATTTCAACTGAAACAATAATATATTTTCGAGTACGATGACGTAGATTATGCCTGGTCGCATTGTACATCACTTAATATCATCCGGCAGATACCCTCAACATTAGTAGATTACCCTGATTAATACAAAAGTTGTGTCATGGAAAATCGTTTTCACTCTGTCATTCCATACTCTTGCTACATTAGATCAATTTCATTTCATTTATTATTGATTTATTTATTTCATTTCATTCATTTATTGATATTTCACCAGGGTTTCACATTCAACAAAAATGGTCTTACAATTAAAAAGATGAACTGCAATCAAAGTAGAATAAATACAGGAAAGTAATATTACACATTACAAACAAATTCGATAAAATTGTACAAAGCTTTAAAACATAATAAACCAACATACAATATATAAGTTAGTTGTTGAGAAAGAAAAGAATAGAAAAGAAATATAGAAAGAAATAAAAGAGAAAGAAAGAAAGGGAATAGGTATGAGAGAGTAATAGAAGACACCAATAACAAGGGAGGAAAGAGAAACTAGCAGGAAAAAAGTTACTATCCAAACGGGGACTACTTCTTCAGCACTGATAGACTCGATACAGGTCGAATAGTTCAAACCAAAAACAAAAGATAGAAAAACGGAGGGACATGACATTTGAAGAAAAAAAATGAAAAGAACTGACAACATCCCAGACGAAAAGAACATATCCTTTAAATTGTTGATTACCATGTCTGAGAGATGAATTCCATTGCAATAAATATCATTAACGAAAAACAAATTGATGTCCTTTTCTGTAACCATCCTAGAAGTAAGAGATTTCCCTCTCATCAGGCCTCTGGTAAAAGACAATCACTTCTTTCCCTCATAAAAATACCCCGAACGCCGTGGGCGACAAATAAAGACCAAAGTAAATTATGATCACCGAATCCGCATCACACCTAATCAAAACAATTCCAGATCTTGTTTCTCATTTCCAAAAGACCACATTCTGTTATTACTAATAGAAATGAGCGGAGTAAAATCCCTTAACCCATATTTCCAAATTGTTCTTTTTGCTAAAGAAAATGAAACAGATAATGGGCATATATTTCTATAATTGACTCTTTGGTTTGAAATAATGAAGCTATGCTGGAACAATAATTGGAGAGATTTAAGCGCGGTAATGGCTACGATTGCGTATCAAGAAAATACATTAAGTTTTTAAATGTTACAAAGTATGTTGAACATTAAAGTATGTTTTTACAAAAGTGCTATAGCAGTTGGACTTGAGTAACCTTCACAATCAAGTTAGAGATTTTCCTTCTTTTTTTCTTCTTTATGTTTTGTCCCCGGGAAATGCAATGATGTGGCATTATTCATAGCTAAAATATAAACTTTAGAATAAAACCTTTTATACATCGTATTTGCTTTTATGCCAAGAAAAGTAGATAAGCTTACAACAATGTATCATGACACTGATGCAAATGAGAAAGACCACATAAGCCCTGACTTGGATTAGTTTTCAATGCATACTTGGGAATAAAATTGTTAAAATTAGAGCTTTTGATGAATAGAAATTGA